GGATGGCAAATGGATGTCACAATGTGCTCTTTCATTGACGATTAGAGGAATCTGGAGTCCCTGGGTGGTACCATTAATGCACTTTGTTGTTAACTGAAATGTTGGAGGTTTGTTGGAGGTTTGAGTCTACCCAGAGACACCTCAGAAGAAAGGCCAGGCTATCTACTTCTGAAAAATCAGCCATTGAAAACACTATGGAACACGGTTCTACTCTGACACACATGGGATTATCCTGACTCATAATTATAATGACATTGGTTTGGTCAGAGGACCCATCTGGGTCCGGCTTTAATGAGCTCTACCATGCATCAGGAAGAAGCAGTGATGTCCTATGCCATCTGCCGCCAACCTACACAGAGGACATGACTGCTGCTGCACGCAGCCTCAGCACCCAGCACAATGCTTGCCCCAATCCAGGAGGTCAACAGGCACATGCTACCCAGTGCTCTTCATAGTTCGTGTCTAGGTTGGGAAGAGAGCTTTTCTTGAAGCACCCACCTTGGTATCTCACCTCTTATCTGAATTTATTTCCTCCATTCCTCACCCCTGAGCTCAGTGAATAAGCCATACGTGAATAGTCACATTTCTCCTCAACATAAACAGGGAGCACAAGGCAACTGATCTCTCTCTGGGGTAGCCTCCCCTCACACATCAGGGAAGCCCCATCTACAGGTCTCTGATGAAAGACAAAGGACTCAAATGAAGATGCTTCAAGAGCAGGACCATGTCCACAGGGATCATCATTATATCCTCAGCATGTGCCAGGCTGATAAGAAGTGTTCAGTAAGTGTGGTCTATTCGTGAATACATCCCTAGATGCTCACCCCTCAGGTACGGAGCTTCTTCCCTTGCCCCTCACTGAGAGGACAGCTTGCTCCCTGCAGCAAATTTAATCTGATGGACAGAATTAAGCCACTTGGCAAAGCTGGCCCATAGCTCAGTTTCCTCAGCACCCCAGATACAACTCCTAAAGTAGGATTCTCAGGTACATGTGGCCAAGCACCAGGAAACTGAGAAACCTGGGTCCTATCCTAGTTTTCAAGACAACTAGCTCTGGAACCCTGGGTAAAACCCTAGCCAAGTTACCTTCTTTATCACCAAACCAGGGAGACACTGGCCTGAATGAGAAGTTCACCTATAAAACCCTCCTCCTACCATCACAGGGCAGGGAAGCACCAGCCCAAAGTCCTTGACGTCAAATTTTAGAGTTGGAAGAACAAGGACTTAGAAATATTGATGATAATAACAACAGTAGCAGCTGACTGGTCTTCCTTCTTCTACTCCAGTCACCTGTGGTAGTTTTCTCTAAAGATGGCTGACATCAATTCCTTCTTTCCTTATGGTATTTTGTCACTCCTCTATTGAGACGGGGAGCCTAGTCTTCCACCTCCTTAAACCTGGGCTGGTCTGTGACTGCACTGACCAATAAAACAGGGTGGAAGTGAGGATATGGGTCTTCAGTCTAGGTTTTAAGAGGGCTTGCAGTTTCTCTTTCCTAACTCTTAGAGCCCTGAGCTGTCATGTAAGAAACCCAGGCTACTCTGCTGGGGGAAAAAAAAAAAAGAGGCCATGTGGAGAGCACCAAGAGTCAGATATTTGAGTGGAGAACCATCTTGGACATCCAAGTCCATCTTCAGATGATGACAGCCCCAGCTGCTACCTGACTATAACCACATGACATGCCAAGTGAGAACCACCCAGCTGAACCTAATCAAACCCCAGAACGGCCAGAGATAATAAAAGATTGTTGTTTTGAACCATAAGTTTTACAGTGGTTTACTATACAGCAATTGAAAACACACACACACATATAAACATAATAGATTATTGAGATACAATTCATATACCGTATAATTCATCCTTTCACAGTGTACGATTCAATAAATTTTAAAGTTATGCAACCATCACCCCAAAAAGAAACTCCATATCCATTATCAATAACTCCTTATTTCTCACCACCACACCCCCCCAATCCTAGGCAACCACTTATCTATTTTCCATCTCTATAGACTTGCCTATTCTTGGCATTTCATATAAATGGAGTCATAGAATATGTAGCCTTTTGTGACTGATTTCTTTCACTCAGCATGATGTTTTCAAGGTTCATCCATGTTGCAGCATGTCTCAGTACTTCATTCCTATTTATTGCTGAGGAATATACCATGATATGAATATACATCATTTTGTTTATCCATTCTTCAGTTTATGGAAATTTGGGTTACCATTTTTTGGCTATTATGATTAATGCTGCTATGAACATTAATGTATAAGGTTTTATATAGCATATGCTTTCATTTCTCTAGGGTATATATCTAGGCATGGAACTGCTGGGTCATATGGTATTTCTATGTATAACCTTTTGAGGAACTGCCAGACTGTTTTCCACAGCAGTAGCAATAATTTACATTCCACTAGCAGTGTACATGGGCTCCAATTTCCCTACATCCTTGACAGCACTTATTACTATCTGTATTTTTGATTCTACCCATACTAGTGGGTGTGAAGTGGAATCCCAGTGTGGTTTTGATTTGCATTTCCTGATGGTTAATGATGTTGAGCATCTTTTCACGTGCTCATTGGCCATCTGTGTATCTTTGGAGAAATGTCTATTCAGATTCTTTGCCCAGTTTTGAATTGGGTCAGTGGCTTTTTATTATTGAATTGTAAGAGTTCTTTATATATTCTAGCTCTAAGTTCCCTATCAAATATATGATTTGCAAATATTTTCTCTCTCTCTAGTGGACATTTAGCACATGTAGAATAAAATCCAGATTCTTTACTATGGACCTGATTTCTGACCTCATCTACCACCACTCTCTGTACATCATTCCCCATTCTCTGGCCACAATGTTCTTTATGTGGTTCCTGAACTCACCAAGCTCAGTGCAGCCTCAGGGCTATGCAAGTGCTTGTTCCCTTTGCCCAGACACTCTTCCAGAAGACCTGTAGTCCTCTGCTCATGTATCACCTTCCCACAGAGGCATTCCCTGACCATATTTTCTAAAACATCACTTTTCTCCCTGTTATTCTCTACCCCTTATCCTGCTTTCTTTTTTCTTAATAGTTCCTATTATAACTTGAAAAGGAACTCTGATGGTGTAATGGTTAAGACATTTGACTGCTAACCAAAAGGTCAGTGATTCGAACCCAGCAGCCACTCTGTGTAATAAAGACGAGACAGTCTGCATCTATAAAGATTTACTGCCATGGAAACCCAATGGGAGTCGCTATGA